TCAATTTAGAAACCAAGGAAATCCTCGTGCGCAGTTTCCCTAGCAGTATCATTTTCAAGATGAAATTCACAAAATTTAAGACACCTGCAAATTCTCCATTGCGGTATTTTCTAAAATCGGGCGATTTTTTTTACCATTAAGAAGACTAAAGCGACGGTGTAAGTCGGCAATCGCAAACCTGCTGCGTTGCAGACTTCCTGTCATACTTTATTTTTTAAACGGGAAACTACTCAATGGCAATTCTGTAAAACTGCCGTGATTTTTCTTCTCTGTGCGAAGAAAATTCTACAAAAACTTCAAGGAATGATGCCAATTTGTTCTCCTTTAAAAAGAATGACATGAAGGCGGAGATTTCCAGAGACTGCAAACGAGTTATGTGGTTGTCGACTCACACTGTCGAAATGCTTTTGAGTGATCTGAAAAATTGCTGTATTATAGAGCACACTAACACTAGTCCAGCGCTCATTTTGTTCAAAAAAGATTTTAGAGTTAGGTAGAGTCCACGCAAATTAAGCATACGCACTTTTAGACTGCAACAGGGGATGGTCTGATGTCACTTTTACATGTGAAGTGAATTCAAGATGCAAGATGGCGGATCTTGGTAAATACTGCTTCCTCGAAAACTGGAAACGCCGAGGAGCAGCCCGAGCAGCTCATAAAATACATAACGCTCTCGGTGCCAACGTTACTGGTGCCTAACAGGGAGAAAAGGAGGCGTTCAGGGCGCTGCATCATGTGACGCTACGATAGGTGTCCAGCGGCATTTTTACGAAAATTTAAGATGAAAAATCGACGGGAGAAAGTAAAATTTTCATCCAGAATTCATCAAAAAATAATGATCAGTGGTCAAACTTAGCTTTTTGTAATTTTTTTCGGGGGGCGTAGACCTGTGTATGGGTTCGTTACAAAAAGAAAGGGGGGCGTAAAAAAAAAAAGTTTATTTCCAGCGTTACATGAATGAACGGCCCCTAATAACGTTTGTCTTACCCAACATTTAATTAAAAATACGCCGTGCTGTGAAATTAAGTGAAGGTCTGTTCTTCCTCTTTGTCAAGTAGCCTTTAGCATACGAAGGACCAGGCATTTGAGTCGCGTAAAAAAAGGGTACGTATTCCCCCTAATACTTGCTTGAGATGACCCTCCTGCTTTGAAATGAGGTAAAGGTCTCCTCTTCCCCACTTCAGTAGCTACCGATGAATAGAATCCCGATTTTGGCGCCGGAGGCCTTTTGCGTACGCAGGACCGGATTTTTGAGTCGCGTAAAAAAAGGGTGTGTACACGCGCTGAGCTCCGTGCGTACCTACCACAACAATGCTTGCCAAGAAGAACACCGTATGATCCTTCAAACGTTGCCAAATTTCTCCAGATAAAACATGCACGAGTTTGATGAACATTTTTTGCTTTTTTTAATTTTCGCCAGTAAACATTTCTTTGTTAATTATTCTTGGATTAATTACTGTATAATATTTTAAAAATGAGCCGGAAATGTTCGTTACTTATTGCAGAATGAAGTCCTGCTGGTTCTCAAGGAAAATAGTTAAAAATCATGGCGAGATCTGAAAAAAGTCCCAAAAATTTATTGACAGACCAATTTTTCCCGATTAAATCTTTCTTTTTCGAGGAAAGTTCTAAATGCTTTCTCTTGAAATTTTCTAACACTCTAGAATAGATGGTTATTCTTTTAAAAATTTAAGGGGGGTAATGAGCACCTATGTGCACAAGGTATACTTTTTTCAAGTTCTGCTGTATAGATTTACAAACAATTTGTTTTGTTTAATTCCTAAATTTTCAGTTGGTTTTGGACGAGGGAAAGTTTGAAAATGAAAAAAAATTGATGTTTTCGTGAGTTTTTGAATGAACTTTCATCTAAAGGACCCTTTAAATGGATTTTTTTCTTGAGAGCAATAAGAGTAAACGTTCTCGTGTGTATTCAGAAAATAAGTTGTGAAAAAAAGCAAGATAAGTTTTTGAAAATCTATCTAGTTGATCCTGAGAAAAGTATTTCTTAAGTCCAAAAAACGCTGTTTTGAGAAAAACCTGTTTGAATGCACTGGCATGGTTATGGTGCCAGATCTCGTTACTCTGTGTGTCACGAAACGTTGCATAATTAGTCTCTTTTCTGGCGTAAGGGCGTACCTCACTTTCTGCATGAGTCCCAGAAAGCATGAATTTACATGTAAAATAGGGCTCACGGGGAAAATGAGATACACCCTTACGTCCCCTGGTAAAAATTAGCGGTAGAATCTGTGTTCCAAAATACCATAGGCCTACAGCCGGCTGTAAGATTTCCAATAGCTCCTATAGCCGGCAACACAATTTCTCATAGCCTTTTATAGCCGATGGCAACTAAGCAACAGCCTGGTGGTAAAGTGTATGCTAAACGTTACTAATTACGGATGCTAGGACTTAGAGAGTTTTTGGACTACCGCTCTCTTTTTGGGCCGCAGTATCTTGATTTATTTTGCGAGGAAAGCTCCGTACTTTAGAGGGATGCCTCCCATTCCTAATATGTTGGAGCGCCTTCAATTTCGTATGATACTGTGCAATACCGCTGGTGTGAAATAGTTGCTTCAGACGCCGTGGCACCCTGTGGCGCGGCGCGGCAGCCAGTGCGCCGCCGCTCCGCTTTGTGTTAGGCTCTTTATCGATACATGCGATTTTCGATACATGTGATAATCCATGTGTATCGCAGTTTGATGTGTAAACCAACATGTTAGGAAGAATGCTCCATTTAAGGAATTAATTTAATGAAGTACATTTTGAATTAAATTCAAACTCCTTTTCTTTAATTTCACTCATCGTTTTTCGGCTATTTCTCTTCGTTGAACATTAGCCAGTGTGCAGCAGCGTTTTTAAACTCATGACTTTGAAATGTTTGCATATTCTGTAGGAATTATTCTCATTTTAATTGATGAAAAAAATATGTAGTAAAGGAAAATATAATGTGCGTTTTGTAAACATTAAGGTGATTCCGTACAAACTTAAGGATTTACAAAGCACACGAATTTCTACACAATTTCTTATGGCCCCTTATAGCCGATGGCGAAAAAGCAGCAGCCAGGCGATAAAGTGTAAAACCCGGCGATAGGAACTGTAGCCCGGCTGTATAATTTTTTATCGCTTCCTGTAGCCCGGCCTTATGCTTTTTTTCACTTTCTACAGCCAGCTATATGATTTCTATCGCTTTCTTCAGTCGGCTATAAGAACTCCTATGGTATTTTGAAACGTAGCTCCTATCGCCAATTTTTACCAGGGATCAGAAGGATGACGAATTGAAAGGATAACGGCCAGATTATAAAAATAAAAAACCTGGTCCTAAATTACAAGCGAAGATTTGTAGAGTTCGGTTAGATAAAACTGAAAAAAACAATTGGCCAAAAATCACTCATGACTACTCTCAAATGAAAAAACCGAAGAAAGTCAATACAATTTTCCGACATCCTGCATTTGCATTGCACTCATATTGATTTCCAAGCCACTTTCTTCAAGAACCACCTTATCTTTTCCTCTCAGCCAAAGTTTGCAACAGGGCCATTTGGACCGAGTGTATCATGAAAGGAACCAACCCACATATTCGAAAAAATTGAGTCAAGAATGTTTTCTAGCTCCACTAGCCGTGTATTTTCTCCTGCCAAAAACTCAAAGTCAAAAAACAGAAATTAGTTTGTGAAAAGACGGGTTAAAGTTTATTTTCGGCCTTCAGCTTTATGCAGGAATAAAACTTTAAACCTCACTCGAAAAAAAACCACATTGGATCTAGAGTCCAGACTCTTGAAAACATTGACAAGAAAAAGGACTCTTGATTCAATCAGATTTAAGCTTCAATCAAAAGGAAATCCGCTCAAATTAAGAGGCTTGGTTCTTGATTTAAGCTTAAATCTGATTGAATCAAAGGTATTATTTCTTGTCGGTGTTTTTAAGAGTCTGGACTCTAGATCCAATGTGCTTTTTTTCCAGTGCTCTTCTTCTCAGTTTCAACTTAATATGGGTTAGTCCCTTTCTGATGAACTCGGTCCATTTGACAACGTCCGAGTGTCCCAAAGACATAAAGACGGAGCGCTCGTATCTAAAAGCACGGGGAAAAAGTGAAGCTAGGTTCGGCGCTGCGCGCTTGTGTGAGTGTGTAAATGAGCGCGGGAATCCATGGCGGCAAACGGAAATTTGATTTGAACTTGTCCTCTTGATTTTTGCACATTTCTTCTTTGAAACGTATTTTAAATTCCTAAAACGAATATAGCAAGAAAGTTCGGTCTGCGTCCTAATATAATACACCTACTTTTGCTCGGTAACAGGCAGTAATCTCAGATAAAGTTAGTTTTTCTTCTGCTCATGGTGGTTCTGCAGGTTCAAACAGGCCGTTACAGTTCTAGATCAACGTTACTCCCAAATGAAATTAATCGGTCGACGACGGACTGAAACTAACCTAAAGTTAAAAAAATTTGAGTGTGTACCTGAATTTGGGCAAAAATCAACCTAAAATACTTTGTTTCCGCAATTTTATTTATTAGTTCCCGTCCTACATTTGAATTCAAACTTGTCCCGATTTCGCCGCCAATCCTCTAGCCAATAGAAGAGGTGATTGAAAAGAAGCTCTAGAAGCTTCATTTTTTGCTTTTAGTGCTCCGTCTTTATGTCTTTGGAGTGTCCATACGGCGTTCTTCCTCAACACGGCCGAACACAACGCACGCTCTTAGCGGGCAACAACAACAACGCGCACAACTCCTGAATCGCTTGTGCGTCGCTGCCATTGAGAGTAAGAGTGATGAGTGAAATTATTGTCGATCGCGAGAAATGCTCAACTGGTTCCCGGCCGCGACCGTCAGCTGGCCGCTAAGCCAAACGCCTTGGCCTTACCCCGGGGCCACCCCCTCCCCCTTCTCTCTCTTCGGGGGCCCCCTCTCGGCCCCCCCATGGACGCGACTCCTCTTCGCGGGAAGGGATCCCGGGCGAAATTATATCATCTCCGTGCCCGCTCACACCCTCGTCAGTGTCTTTGCGTCCTCCAGCGTATCCGTCTACAACGTGTCGCGTCCTTCGACGTCTAGCACGTGAGTTTCGACGTCAAGCACGTTATTATCGCCGTGAGCCCATGTTCGTCGACTTGTGCCCGCGCTCCGATCGTGTTTGATGGTTTTTGAGAGCTTCGAGGATAACTGGATCCCGATCGCTGTAAACAGTGTGTTGTTTTAGAAATACGAGAAACGTCAACTTAGATTCTCTTTTTAACTCAAAATGAGGCATACACAGGTAAAAGTTATTGCATTGCTACGTCCTTGGGTACTTTTATTGTAGTGCTAGTCATTAGTACTGGTTAAAGTTGAAAAAAAGTACACTTTTTGATTTTAAAACCCGGAAAACAGATTTTCGTACATATTGCGATTCACTCTTGACTCAAACTAAGACATCCACAGGTAACAGCTACTCCAGAGACTGTTTGTGCAGCAAAGTGAAAAAAGAGCAAAAAAAACTAATATTTTGATTGTGAAACCAAGTTTCACCACGACTTATACGACTTTTTGGACTTCTTTCTAATAGAAATGACACGGACACAGGTAATACTTTTTGCACTACTAGATTTTCAGGTACTTTTCCTTTACCACATTGCCTACCGCATTGCAATGATGAAACTAGATAAAGCTGGAACAAGCATGTATCTTGATTGCAAAAGCAGGCATTGACATCGACTTTAACGACTTTTGGGACTCATATCTACTAAAAATGAGACATACGCAGGTAATACTTTTTGCACTACTAGATTTGTAGGTATTTTTTCTTCAGCACGAAGCCTACACATTGCGATGATGAAACTAGATACAGTTGAAATGAATCATGTAGCTTGATCGAAAAACCTGGGAAACAGATACTTTGACAGGTTTAGAGCTCGCTTTTCACTCAAAGTTAAGACACACTCAGGTATTAACTATTACTTCCAACTGGATTTGTATGTACTATTTCTTGAGCATGATGCCTATCTAATTTTGATTGAGAAACTGAAAAGAAAAATTGGCTTGATCGAAAAATCCAGAAATCATCGACCTAGGCCAATTTTGAGATTAGTTCTCTACTCACATTAAAACATTCAGTAGTAAACAGTGGAGAGGCGTGATTGAACGATTATCGATATTTCTCCCATTTGAAACTATGGCAACGAATCGATTATGAAAGTGTTCGTTGTGAACACCCTGTTATCGATCATTTTCCATACATTTAAATAACAGATCAATCGATAAATCGCAAAACACACCCCGCCACTAGCAGTAAAGTGTATTGCATCATTAGATGTTTAGATTCTTTTCTTTTCGCATGATGAGCATCGGGTGATTTGAGAGTAATGAACTACTTATCAACCTCGAGTTAGGTTAGATTAGAGTTAGATTCGAGTTAGGTTAGAGGTAGATGAGATTACTGTAAAACGAGTCTCGACTGTCTCGTTTCAAAATTGTTGCATCTTGTTTCATTTATTGTAAAAATATTACTATCAAGACTGAAAGTTTTTGTGAAAAAACTTTTTGCACAAAATTTGGGAATAGTATTTTTGGAATGCCAATGAATGATACAATTTTTTGCAATGACGATAATTAGTTTTAAAAAAGTTACTCCTGATAGGAAATCAGCAACGTCCCGAACTAGAATACGCGGTTTGGTAGTCACATTCCAATTAAAGTTTGATTACAAAACCCCGGAATGTAGATTTTAATAATTTTTTAGATACCTTTCCATGTAAAATGAGACACACCCAGCTTTTGTAATTCATTGCACTTCTACATTTTTAGATACCCTCTCTCTGTAGTGCATGCTTTTAGTACTAATTACAGTTCCACTTCTTACTCGAAATTGCCCCCCCCCCCCAAAAAAAATAAATAAATAAAAATCTGATTGCAGAAGCAGGAAAATGTCCACTTCGAGAACTTTAGAGAACGTTTCTGATCAAAACGAGACGTGTCCAGACAAACTTAGAGTAGGCACACAAGACACCGCACAGTGGATCGATTCAATTGGAGAGGTCGGACAAAATTTGGAAACTTTAAACGCTTATAACTTCGTCTTTAAAAATTTTAGGGTTCCAAAATTGTTTTTTTTTTGGTTTTTTCGTGAAATTTTCTTCTAGATGCACTCCTTAAAATTTAAAATGTGACGAAATGAACATAAAAATTTGCAGTTTTAGTAAAAAAGTTCAAGTCCGACCTCTTATATTAACTCGATCCACAGTGCCTCGCTCATCTGACGTAAGGGCGTATCTCGATTCCCGCGTGAGCCTTGTGCTCCGTATAACTTAATGCTTTCTGGGGCTCAAGTGGGAATGGAGATTTGCCCTTACGTCGAATGGTAACGAAGAGAATACTACATTCAATCGCAATTTTAGGTCTTACTTTTATAATTTCTTGATTAGATCTTATCGTAATTTCCAATTGTTTGAATTCAGCTAATTGAAATGTTTAATTTGTATACCTATCAGATTGCGAAATGTTAAGGCATAGAACAATCATTTTTGAAAAAATCTTGATTGTTTTCACCCTTAATTGGAGTTTATAGAATAATGCACATCCGATGGTCAGTTTTTCCCACGCACATTTCACTATGAATTAATCAAAAAAAAGGAAAAGATTTACAAGAACAACAATGCATCCTTATCCAGTGAATATAAAAGCCCTCATTTGCCATACATTTTGGGGCCTTATTATTTTTACCCATTTTTGCTTTTGTAAATAACACAAGTTAAATGTATCATAAGTAGATTTCAAATAGTTAACTGCAGATAATCATCACTAGTTATTTTACAAAAATTTCGATTGAAATCTATCTTTTAATTGGATTGCATTTTGCCAAAAGGGACCACAAGCATTCCAATGTCGCTAAGATTGTGCAACCTTTTTTTCACCTCGCAAATAGAAACTGATCATCTAAAAAAATGTTTATCTTTACTTCCTATGAATTATGAATTCAAGCCGAAAATCACCTCTGTAAATTTAATTTTTCTCATGATGCCTGTAATTTTTGGCAAAGAATTTAGTCATTCAATCCTAGCAACATCGGAATGCTCTTGGTTCCTTTTTGAAAAATGCAATCCAATTAATAGCTACAGTGACTCTAAAACACTGCAATCACACCACGTCATACGGATATCCTCGATAATCAGGATCCTTTCTACTCTCACTTTTTCTCCGGTGACTCAAATTATTCAAATGAATCCCTTATGTTTAAATTTGACGCATGTAATGTTTCGTAAGGCCCGGATCCAAAACACATCAAGCGATAAATTCCCCCGTCCATTACGATTTTCAGAGGTCACAAGTTTACGGCTCTCGAGGCCCTCTAAAAATAAACGGTAGAACTACCGTGCGAAAGATGCAATTTTTTTCCAAACGATGGCCATATTAATGACCCGGTCACTGAAGAGAAAAAAACCGGGCAAAAACTCATCACTTAGGATCCGCTCATTTCCATAATGCTCTTTTTTGTCCGCAGATCCTGCTAGCGTCGCTGCTGGCACTCTTCACCTCCACCTTCGCAACTTTCCCAACCTTCACGCCTCCGAAAGTTACCTACCGGAAGGTAGGCCCAGACCCCTACCGCCCTTACCGCTACGGCCGCTCTCCAACCACCATCGCACCCCCTCGGTTCAACCGCTCCATCAGCGATAACTCAGGGTGGGTCCCCATCTTCAAGCCAGCCGAGTCCTACGTCCACCAGAAGACCGCCACCTACCCCGCCCCGCGCTACCAAACTCACTACGTCATCTACTACCCCTCAGTGGACCCGAAACAACCCTCACTCTACACCCCGGCTGCCCATTCCGTGGATCCAAAAGCCAACTCTCTCTACACCTCAGCCTACTCCGTTGAACACAAACCTTCTCTCTACACCCCGGCCTACTCCGTTGAACACAAACCTTCTCTCTACACCCCAGCCCTCACAGTGGACCACTCTCCGGCCTTGTCCGTTGTCACGCCCGCTGGGAAGCCGGTCACAACCTACGGTCAAGATTACAAGTACGGTCAGGAATACAAGTATGATTCTGAGTCGTTGAAACCTTACAAGTACGACCCTGAGGCCTTGAAGGGTTACCAGTATGATTCCGAGGCGCTGAAAGGTTACAAGGTTGACGCCGAGGCCCTTAAAGGATACAAAATTGATGCCGAGGCTCTGAAGGGTTACAAAGTTGACGCTGAGGCTCTTAAGGGCTACAAAGTTGACACAGAAGCTCTCAAGAGTTACGCCGAGGCTTTGAAAGGATATAAAGTTGACGGAGAAGCTCTCAAGGGGTACGCTGAGGCTTTGAAAGGATATAAGTTTGATGCGGAGGCGCTGAAAAGCTACACAGCACAAGTTGAAGCACTGAAAAGTTACGCCAGCGCTCAAGCGGAGGCAGCTAAAGGCTACACGAGCAATACAATCAGTTCGGACACTTCAGCAGAGTCGCACGGTATGTAGTCATTGTTTTGTCACAAATTAGATATTTTACTCATAAAACTTTTAAAAAGAGTCTTACAAATGATAAAACAGAGCCAAATGGTTGGTCAACCTGCTATACACCGTAAAAAAAGGAAGTTGATCTAATATTCTGGATGTAACAAAAGTGTGCGAGAAGTTAAAAAATCATAGTAATTAGTTCTACATCTTGGCATCGCTAAAGTAGATGCTATAGCGGGTAATGTAGCATTTTATAAGTTCTCGCACACTTTTTTTTTATATCCAGAATGCTAAGTCAACTTTTTTTTCGGTGTATATGTTAGGTAGAGTGAGATAGCCATAGTGTGCAAGTATCTAAATGTTAGATAGGGACGCATACGAAATGGAGACAGCATGACAAAAGCTTGGGATGAGGAGTTCTCGCAATAATCACCTAAGGTTGGTTAAGGGACATTTTGTCAAGGATTTTTTGTCAGTGCACCTGTTTTTTCCAGTAGTTTACGTCCACGCGTTTTTTCGGCAGGGAGTTTTGGTCCACATACCAATTATTATTCAGACTCAAAATAAAATATTCTTGACGGCATACTCAGGAATGTTTCTGCCGAAATCGAGTCACTTTTTTCTCTAATGAAATTTGAAAGTCACGCATTGGCGCCTACAAACCTAAGTAGATACTTCAAACATTGCACAATGCGTGAAGTATCCCTTTAGGTTTGTAGGTGCCAGTGAGCTTCTCGCGCTGGCTGCACGCCGCGCTGCTCCGCTCTGTTTGGCTCTAAGCTTTAAACTCGCAGAGTCAGCGTTTTTCAACTCATGATTTTGAAATTCTTGCACACTCTGTATGGACTATTCTCATTTATGAAAAAAGATATGTATTAAAGGAAAATACATTGTCTATTCCGTAAAAAGTAAGGTGACTCCGTGTCAAATTTAATGATTTTCAAAGCCCTCTAATTTATTCTTTCATATTTTGTGCTTTTACTGTGCAGCAGCGCAAATAAATTCATCCTTAATCGTCCACTAGAGATGTAAGTTCTTCTTAAGAAAGCCCATGGCTGGTTTCCTTAAAGCTATATAAGCAGATGGAACTAGGGGAGCTTGGCCCACTGGCCCCTCCATGAGACGACTTAGCCCGCCTGTTCAGGAAAAATTAACATTTTTGCAGAATGAATGAGTGACTCATCTAAAATTCTTGATATATTTTAAGCAATTTTTCCATAAGAACAGTTCACACTTGCTCATGAAACATCTCAATTCTTTAAAATTCTATAAAACCCCCCAGTTTCTTTTTGGAGCTGCGAGGTAGTCCCCCTGAACTCCATTTGAACCACATTTTGCATTTCGGAACCATTATCTCCAAATTATTTCAGAAATAACATATAAACCAATCGTTTCCCTGTGCAGATTGTTACTTTTGCAAATAAGCTAGAAACAGTGGTTCCACTTAAACTGATTGAGTGCCTACGTCATTCTATAGATCAATTCACTCGCTGGTTTAATTATATCGCTCGCACAACCTCAAAATATTCAACCCTCTGGTTGGCTGTTTTATTTTTACCTCATTTTCGAAGCATGGAAAACTGATAAAACTTTAAACGGGCCAATTCAATTTCGATTATTTGATCACAATATATCGGATGACGTAGCCACAAAATCAGTCCGTACCAAAATGTAGTCCAATGCGATATTGTGCCTTTCTGTACACTGAGAAAAAAATTTCGGTCATATCAACCGAATGTACTATGTTCAATATCGGCCGTATTGTTCGGTTCATGCGACCGCTTTTCTGATTCTGGGAACCGTGCCCTTGGCTCATGCAACCGAGGTTTTCCATTAATTCTGTTGGGTTTAAATGGTCGGTTGCATGAACCGAAGGTACGGCCCCCAGTACCCAGAGCGCGCGGTCGCATGAACCGAACAATACGGCCGATGATGAACACCGTACATTCGGTTCATATGACCGAAGTTTTTTTCTCAGTGTGCAGAGAGGCACAATATCGCATTGGACTACATTTTTGTATAGACTGATTTCGTGGCTACGTCATTCGATATATTGTGATCAAATAATCAAAATTTAATTGGCCCGTTTAAATTTTGATCAGTTTTTCCACTCTTCGAAAATGCGGTAAAATTAGAACAGTCAATCAGAGGGTTGATTTTTTTAAGGTTGGGAGAGCTATATAATTTAACCAGCGAGTATATTGATCTATAGAATGACGTAGAAACTCGATCAGTTTATTAGGAGCTTTTATTTCCGGCTCATTTGCAAAAGTAACTATCTGCACAAGAAAACTATTGGTTTATACTTTGGAGACAATGGTTTCGAATTGCAAAATGTGGTCCAGAAAGAGTTCAGGGGGACTACCTCAGCTCCAAAGAGAAGCTGGGGGCTTTATAGAATTTTAAAGAATTGAGACGTGTCAGGAGCCAGTTTGAACTGTTCTTATGGAAAAAACAGCCAATCAGAGGGTTGCGTTTTTTGTAAAGCATGCTGAATGAAAATCATTCTTTCCCAATAAAACTTATGATTCCACCCACGATGATCCAACTAATCTACGTCCTCCATGCAGGTACCTCAGACCCGGACCACAAGCTCTACCCAGATACCAAACTCTACTACTACCCGCAGTCAGTGCAACCCCAAGTATCAACCGAAGACAAGGGCGCCTCATATGCTCAGTACGCGCCACAGACAGAGCCGGTCTACTACTACACGGTGGCGAAGCCGCTGAGCCGGCCGTCCACCCCGATCGAGGAGCCGGCCCAGGAACCGGCCAAGCAGGCCACCCCGGTGCCCGTCTTCAAGAAGGCCGTCGTCCAGCACTACCCGGTGATTAGCGCGCCGCAAGAAGAGGTGAGTTAATTGCCTCACACCTGCACTGCAATCGTCTTCCGAGACCACTTGGGACTCCGCACCGGGTCTCTGGGTTATGCAAGCCGGGAAGTGGATAGGGGTGACTGGACCAGTTGCATTCCGGGATGCTCTTTCCGTTGGCACGTCACCCGGGGATTTCCGCCAGCCAGGCATCTATTAGAGATAGATTAAAGGCTCATTAGAGGATACTTAAGTCGTTACGTCTTGGGGGCAATTGGGTATATTTATGCTAAATGGAATTGCGTACACATTAATTGAAACAATAATAACTTCGATGCATGCAAGTATTGCAATACCTATGCACGTACAGTTCCTTTCGATTCAATTTATCTGCTTTTCTATCCTTTTCGTATTAAGATGGAAAGTGGATAGGGTGTCTGGACCAGTTGCATTCCGGGATGCTGTTTCCGTCGTTACGTCAATACCGGGGATTTCCGCCAGTGAGGCAGCTATTAGAGATATATTAAAGGCTGATTAAAGGCTAGTTTAGTTGTTACGGCTTGGAGGCAATTGGATATATTTATGCTAAATGGAACTGCGCACACACTAATAATTGAAACAGTGGGAACTTTGAGGCATGCAAATCCTATATGCACGTAGCTTTTTTCTATTCAATTTATCTGCTTTTCGTTCCTTAAAGCCGGGAAGTGGATAGGGGTGACTGGATCAGTTGCATTTTGGGATGATATTTCCACTAGTGAGGTATCTATTAGAGATAGATTAAAGGCTAACTAAAGGCTGACTGAAGGCTGCTTTGGTCGTTGCGTCTCGAAGAAAATTGGACGAGTTTTTGCTAAATGGAGCTGCGCACATATCAATTTGAATAGTAGGAACCTTGAAGCATGAAAATCCTATGCACGTAGTTCTTTTCGATTAGGTACAGTTATCGGTACATTGTTCCTTTTGGCATTAATCGTTGCTCCTCTGACATAAAGACGCATCTCAGTTTCCACGTGAGACTTGTTTTATGTATACATTCATGCTTTCTGGGGCTCATATGGACATCAAGATACGCTCTTACGCTAGAGGATCCACGTTAGGAGTGCCATTTTGGACAGAGTTTAACAAAAATGCACAACGCCAAATTAAGATAAATCGAGAGTAAGAGTTTGAAGTAGTTTTCCTATTATAAGATGCTTTGGATAAAGTCTATAATGACTATTTTCCTTTTCAAAAAAACCTTTTCTCGACTTAGAATTTTTGACGAGAAAATATTTACGACTGGTTAAACACAAACCTACTGACTCATTTTCCCCCAAAATGTGACTTGCTGCGTTTCTGTTAAACTCGGTTCAACAGAGCTCGCGTAGAAGTTGAAATTCGATGATTACAGAGTACCTACAAATATATGAAAATTTCCATGTTCGTTCCGCTTTCTGATCGATTCATCAATTTTAGGCTTTTCACGTGGATTTTCGGGGATCAACGTTAGTACACCTGATCTATAAACATTTGTTTAATCGAGAAAAATCAATGATACCCGGAAAAAAGCCATTCTCGGCAAAAGTATTCATAAAAATTTGTTCAGATTTTCCCATGTTAGATTTTGGAAATCAAGAGATCCTTCTGACGTCTAGAATTCTGTTGCCATCTTGCTTGTTTAACTTGGTCCAAAATTAGGAGCGGAAGAGCTTCATGAATGGGAATCATTGTTCACCGAATCAGTGAATGGCATAATTTTTCTGCGTTGAAAGGATTGAAACGGAATTACTCTACCCATTAAGGTGCTCTGCATGACTGAAATCAAAAGACGCTCCGATTCCGACGATGCAACGTTTTCTTTGGTGTTTTGATCAGTTTCCTCTTATGAAAATGAAACATGCATGAACATTTTCAAACGTTGCGCAATTAAGATGGTCATTTTGTAATTTTGCAACAAAGCTCAAAATTAGTTTTCTTTGAAATTTTGATCATTCGTTTTACACAACTAAAAAATAAAAGCAATTTTTAAACGTTGCAATTTTTGCAACTTCGGATAAAAGCACTGTCCATTTGCATCCATTTCTGCCATCCGTAATTGAGATTCGATGATAAACTTGTAACTTGTTTGTAGGTATCTGATTCGAGGTTTGGTTTCTATAACCCAACCTGTGATTACCTTAACAAAAAATTGTAGTGTTTTGCATGAGCCGAAGCTTTTTCTTCCTCCGTGCAACATTTCAACATATTGCCACTTTCAAAATTTTTAACCATTTTATGAAAAAACAAAGCTGCGAATGCTCATCTCTTCCACAGCCAGAACTTTCTCTGGATGAAGGTTAAGATGAATGTATAATCGCCGTCTATGTGCGCCGGTCAGCGGTTGTTGGCGCACGGTCAGTCTCAAATTTTATGACGCTGAAACGCAGCGCGCGCGCGCGCTCTTTCCAAATTCTGCCGAGTCAGGCCGCTAGAAAGAGCGGATGTTGAGGTAAAGTGCATTATTCCTCGCGGCAATTCATTCCCATTTTCAGTTAGATATCTCCTACCAAGGTGAAGTTCACTCCTAGCAACAGTGCTTCAGTGGTGTTTTCTACATATCTGCTGCGAAGGCACAGCTTCCTTGAAGAAAGAGCCTGTCAAAAAACGGACTTTTTTGTGCTTTCTTTATACGGGAACTCAGGGATTTTATTCAAATGTGGCCTAAATAAGAACCTCATGATAAGAAAATCCTCCACCAAAAGTTCTAGCTTTAGTTTAAAGCTCGTTTTGGCAATATACAGTATTGTAAAGTTTACTTTTTTTACCATTGAAAAATGTTGATATTTTGAAGTTCCTCGATTGAATAAACAAATTGAGTTGATTCTTTTTCCTTCTTTGAGGCATAAATTAGGCACTAACTGATGGTATTGATCCTCAAAAAGTTGAACGGAATCAGCCGAAGTTCCTATTTTCAATTGAGGGACTTCAAAATATTAATAATATTCAATCTTAAATAATGTAACAATTGAAACGATATATTTTCAAAACGAGCCTTGAACTCAAGCTAAAACTTTCAGAGAAGGGTTTCCTCATCATACGGTATCGTTTAGGCCCCATTTGAAAGAAATTCTCAAATTCCCCCGGAAGGTGCGTAATTTTTTGACGAGCTCTTTGGAAGTATTTTACTATATTTCATTTCTTCTCTATTATCTATCATGGAGATTTGAATAGAGAAACGGAACTAGCTTCAGACTCTTTAGATTGGAGTTTGGCACTAACTGTGAGGGAAAATTTATGGCAAACAGTATTCAAATATTTAAACAGACAACTATTGCTACATAGAGGATGTTTTTTGCCTACCTCGAAAATCGAAGGCAAAAAAGTAATTTGCATAGGTAATCTTATTTATTGTTTTCCGCATCCGTTCTGGTGCAATCCTACTGTTGGTAAAGTAGGTGAGCTACAGACTCATATACAGAAGAACCCTTTAGTTAGACCATCATCCTCCTCTCCACTCTACAACACCAACCAATAGTCTCACTCCATTTTCGCTTTGTCTTCTATGTCTATTTCTTTGTCTACTATGTCTATTTCTTTGTCTATAAAATTTAATAATCAGCCCACTGACTGCAACCGCGGCGCTCAAACGTAGCCCGTTCCTGCTCTTGGCCGTTGACCTTGACGACCGAAGCCTCCAAACGGTATTAACTTAGATGAATTGCAGATACTTTTGACGGGAGGCTAGAACCACCGGGGGGGGGGGGGGGGTTGAGGAAGGGATTGTGCGACTCGGAGAAGAGTGAAAGCGCGGCGCAAGCCTATTTATATTCAAATCGTACCGCTTAACGAGTTATGTCAATCCCGATAGCGGCGGACCACTAATTGATCGCTTTTTTGTCCGATCTCGTAAAATTTCGAAGCGAACCCGGTGTGATGCGCTGCGCGGGGATATATTTCGCCGGGAATCGAAATGAAGAGCCCCCTTGAGGCGAGGGTATGAGACGGAACCATTTCAGGTTTCGTCTCGTCTCGAGGCTCCGGGGTGTTGGATAAGAGATTCGGATGTATTTTTAGTTTTGAAATGCTTTCCCTGAGCATCATTCAACGAGTTCAGCGCGGTAAGCGAATCATCAGTTGGACTGCTTCCATCAGGATGTATATGAACGGAATCAGACTGAATGCATTTCACGCTGCTTGTTATGTACTCCTGGACTTGATGTACAATTTCAGACTTCCTTTCCTCGAGAAAGAATCCCATCAACTTACCAGTGGACCCCATCCTAGAGTCAAATGCTCCATGCAGAGATGAGGATATCACCGCTAAATCTCCTGTCAGTACGTTTGAAATGATTCAGGAAAAATTGCATGAAATTTTATGAAACATCGTTTCTCAGTTATTTTTTTAAAGAAAATAATAAAGATAAAATATCCGTGGAGGTGTTCAACGTTTAATCGGAGATCAAAAGTCATTTTTTGCGTGTAGCTATCGATATTTGGCTTCGTTTATGGAGGGCGTTTTTGAGATAACTATTCGACCACGAGTGATGCCCATATTGCCGCTAACTGAAATTGAAGGCGCTCCTCACCACGAAGATGACACGACCACACTGTACCGGTTAGCACCGCACCGCCAACCTGGCACTATGAATCAAAATTCTAGAATTGCCTCTCCTTTTCATTATAACATGAGGAAGAGTTTGTATCTTATTTGCAACGTTTCAGAATCTAGAGCCATGTTTCAATTTTCGTTTGTTTCAAACTAACAATAATATTGCCGCGGAATCCTGTGAATACATGTGAAAATATGATCTACGAAAATTCGGTGAAATGAAATTCTTACTCTCCATTTGAGGACTCTAGCTGTCAAAAAAGTTCTTTTAGCTGACATTCATGACAAACCTGTGTGAGAACTAAGCCCTATCCTTACTTGGGGCACGGCTTTGACTGATTAGAAAGGTAAAATTTCTTGTAACTGTGAATCATAACGCCATTATGACCTTAATTCTGAAAAAAAAAATAGGAAATATGGGATTAGATTCCACTAAAAATCAGTGGCAGCGCTGTTATTCTTGAAAAATTTCACACAGGAATAAAGAGTCAAATTTCAAACCCTCTGCTCTTGCGGAAACTCCATTTTCACATTTTCCTATTCTGCGTTAAAGTCTTCGGTACAACGTATCGCGCCGGTTTATCACGTGAAAAGATCAAGAAATTAATTTATGCCTCTCAATCAATAAAACATCAATTTAAAAGGCTCATGGGACAAATTCTTCGGCAAAATCGTAAAATTTTTCTAAATTTCGTGGATTTTATCTGATAAACTTGCGAGCAATCACACACATTTACCGATGAAGTAAGGCTCATAAAAAAGAGCGAGAGAGAGAGAAAAAGTTTTTGTATTGAACATTTTCCTACGTTTGCAACTAAATTTTACTGAATCGGTTTTATTTATTCTTCGGATGATGGTGGATTGCCTCGCCGTTTGATTTGCGTACGCCCCACCAATTCGATGTACCCGCTTTTTGACAAAGGAATGCACTCACTGACCGAACGTACAAGGCTTTCGGGCTGAACGCATTAATTTGTTAAGAGCGGAATGATAATAGGCACTAAAATAACAAAAGCCTCTTAAAGAGGATTAATTAGAGTTACAACTTCCGCGCGGGGTTGGCTTTCTCTGAGCCCGGCGATGGCTGCTCGGCGTCAACTTTTCTCGTCTTCGAAGACAATCATCTTTTTTCGCACATTACTTAACACTAAATGGCGGTCACCGTTATCGCAATCCTCATCTTTACTAGCTTTGGATTTCTTCCCGTCGCGTCTTGCGTTGATGAGGAAGCACGAATCAGTTTGATTTCCGATCATGGATTGTGCTGAGTTAAACGAAAACGCATTAAGTCGGATTTTATATATATGTAAAAAAAAAAGAAGAAGAAGAAGAAGAAGAAAAAAAGTTTGGAGTAATTTTGAAGTAAACTGATTGTAAATATCTTGCTGTCAAAATTTTAAAGTTTGTATCAAAAAATAAGTGCCTAAACTAAAAAACACAAGAAAAAGGGTAACCAAAGCTAATAAACAACAAAACATGAAGCCTGGGACGTTCCGGGAAGGTTTCAACCCCCTCCTTAACCGGGGAACAAGAGTATACCTAAAATTATGACAATGAAAATACCTAGAGCCCCATTTTGCGATAGCAAAAAGTGAGGTTAAAAAATACGTAAACATTTTGAACGTAAGAAAAATCATATAAATTTGTATTTGGCGTTGAGTCTGATGAAAAAAACTTCAAATCTTTATTCTCCACTTCATAATTGATGTGTGTCTTGCGCCGCTCTGTTGAGCATGTTCCAATTTATCTTGCCCCTTACATCCATGAGAAGCAGATATGGAAGTATATAATCCAACAAATCGATGACTATAAAGTACAAAACCATGTATCTCTGGACGCGATGTTGCAGACTTCCTGTTATACTTTTTTATTTTTTTTTGGGAGGGAGGGGGAATTTTCTAACATTATTTTTTGCAAATTCCCCTGATTTTTCTTTTTTGGAAGCAAAATACTCAGTAAAAATTTCATGCAATAAATATTGCTCGTTCCTCATCGGAAAAAATAAAATAGGAGCGGAAATTTTTAAACACACAATGGAGCTACGTGGTTTTGCACTTTGGCCATCGATATACGAGTATATCTGGTGATGCACTAAAACATATTATGCAAGTCCATGTTCCAGTCGCGTCGGTTGGGTTCATGAGCTGGAAACTGTTGTTTCAAGCAATCTGCAGTCCTCAGAAACATCATTTTTAAATAGGCAAAAGTGGACTCTAGAGGAAACAGACGTGCTTTCTGACCTGGTAGCGGATTGTATTTCACAAAATTTAATAGGCGGTAGTTTTTTCGGGCACCTAGACAATCCTTCATTTCCTTTCTTACTTCCTTGTTTGTTTCTCTTAATAATTGGTTCAACTGGTGGAGCAGACAAGAGTATATCTCACACTCAAGTTTCTCATCAAACTATAGGGGTGTCAAAAAATTAGCCAAATAAGCTAGGGCTTCACTGATGTAAGACCGTAGTTCTCCACTCCGTAGTCGAAAGTCTGAGAGTGCGCGGGAATTGTGGGTGAATTAATTCAGTTAGTCTCGCATTTGAATGTCGGACTGAGAATGAAGAACAATGACCGCTCCTCTTATCATAAACTCTATCTTGAAACCAGATCAACTACTCTAAGTGACTTTGTTGCCAGTTGTTAGGGATTTATAATGCCTATCCTATTTTCGCGTTGTTTTTATTGCCTAAAACAAGTGTGATAGTCATACGCAATATAGTCATCCACATAAAAGTTCATTTAAGAATCTCACCAAACATTGATCATCCAACATTTAATTCAACTTGAACCACTGAACATACCATAGGTGTGATTTTTAATATATATCCTTTTTAATGTTGCAAAAAAAAAAAAAAAAAAAAAAAAAAAAAAAAAAAAAAAAAAAAAATCTCACCATGCACGTCTGCAGGTCCATTATTACTAATTAATACTCTTTTCAACAAAAAAAAAATCTTGTCCCATAAATAATTAAAGCTATTGCCCTAAAATTCTTCTAGCGTGAAAAGAGAGCGGAATGACTAAACGCCAAGCCGGTGCCTGGTACATTATTCGTATTACATTTTTTCTCGACATATTTTACCTCATATTGTCATAGAATGTATGGGTTTGTTAAGAGGAGCATTTCCGCCAAAAAAGGACGGCTCGAAGTGACTTTCTTCAACTAACCCACTCAATGAGTTACATGCGCTAGTCAGATAATCATGTTTTTCATGTTTTTTTTATGTTTCAACAATTTCAAGTTTACGTGGAGATTACTGCATGAATGAACCGAGCACGAGAAATCCTTGCTTTGTAAATTAAACAAGTATGCATTAGCGGATTTGTGATGAAATTACTCAATCTGCCAATATACATGTCTCTACAGGGGCCGTCCCTAACGCACGTAACGCTCCAGGGAGGGGAGGGGGGGTCGAGGAAAGCGTTACGCCGTCTTGATTTTACTTGTAAAGCGTTTTACGTGTCACAAAAGCATTACGAGGGAGGAAGGGAAGGGAGCCAAAAAATGCCAAAGAAGTGCGTCACGTACTTTACGGACGGCCCCCAAATGGGAAATGCCGCCTGATACCGTCACAAGGCGTTACAGTATTTACATTTAAATCTATTTGTTTACAATTTCACAAATCAATTTTTTTTTTAAAAAAAAGCGCACTGCGAATTCAGCTCATTAGGCACTCTCAGATAAAGCACACTGGGAAAAAAAACACATTGGATCTAGAATATAGACTCTTGAAAATATTGATAAGAAAAAGGACTCTTGATTCAATCAGATTTAAGCTTAAATCAAAAGGAAATCCGCTCAAATTAAGAGGCTTGGTTCTTGATTTAAGCAAAAATCCGATTGAATCAAGAATGTTTTTTCTTGTCGATGTTTTTAAGAGTCTGGACTCTAGATCCAATGTGTTTTTTTTTCGAGTGTAGATAAAGCAGGGAAAAATTTTCGTGCAAATTCTCCATCTAATGAAGCCGAAAATTTCCGTCCTCAGAAAAAGGCGAAGAAAGCGGTGACGGTGCTGCACTCTGGCGAGTCGCACGGACACTCGGAGGGTGAGGACGAGCACTCCGGGGACGAGAAGTACGAGTTCGGGTACCGAGTCCACGACTCGCACACGGGGAGCGAGTTCGGGCAGATGGAGCAGCGACACGGGAGCAACTCCCGCGGGCACTACCACGTCATGCTCCCCGACGGACGGCTCCAGGTCGTCCGCTACTACACCGACCACGAGGGCTTCCACGCCGACGTCTCATACGAAGGCAAGGCCCACCACATCGGGTAGGCAACCCGCTGATCACTACCCTGCCTCGCAAGTTCCTCAAGTCTCTCAATTTTCAAGCAGGTGAGCTTCTTGAGTATTTCCTGGGAAAAAACTTTTTTTTTTTTTTTTTTTTTTGACGCTCAGTGAGAGGTTGGTGACAGGGGGTGTTAAATGAGATGAGGGAGTGTCAATTCCCTGATGACCTGTGGGAAGACCGAGCTTTGTGGCGATTAAGCGTCGTGAAGCGCCAAAGAGCGCTATAAAAGCGACTCACATATATATACAAAAAAACTTTTTTTAAACACCCTGTATAATCATCTCGATCGATAAATAGCGTTTCTAAATCATAGATGTATCGATCAGGGTCATTGGGTAACGCGATTCAACAATCTACCCGCTCGGTGGGTGACTAGATTGACTCAGTGGTCAGTGAGCAAGGCGCTTTTAACTACGGGACACCCTGTAATTCCCGAGAGACTCAAACGAACGGTTAGAAAGGTAGCTATGCAATGTTGAGACAAAACGCGGAGGGGAAAATGGACTACATTTTGCAACTAGGAAATATAATTTCTGGCTCAGTTTAGAAACAACGTATGTACCATCAGTTTCCTTATGCACGTACGTGTTTTTACAGGTAAGCCAGAAATTATAGTTCAGAATTGCAAAATGTAGTCCAAATTATATTAGCCGTTGCATTCCCCGCACTCTTTAGCTACTCTGTAAAAATAAACATATTTTCAAGGAAAATTAATTGAAAGTAAGTTATTTCAGCTTTAGGTTTAATAACTCTACGTCATGTTTGTTCATTTTTATAAATCTTACTGAAAAAAGTAAAAGATCCGTGCATGCCGTGAATAAGATGATAAAAATATTAGTTTTCCTCGAAGGGAAATAACTACAAGAAAAGCCGTAAAATTTCCAACTCTGCTTTATAGTATCTGGTATGATTTTGCTAGAATTTTGTATGGAGAATGATAACAATTTGTGGAATGCCTATTTATTGACGGACAGGAGAGCGAATCGGACATGGTTTGGTGGACAGCATATAATTAAGTATAAGAATTTAAAGTGACGCTAACGTTGATCTAAAACTTAAGCCTAGAAGAACCAAAATTTATGAATTTTCGTACTGGAACTTCAAGATATCATATCTCCCTCAATTTTGAGTTTTCACGATCAAACTTGCATCAAGTTGAACGAATTTTCCTCATCTATACATTGGTATCCATAAATCAATTTTGAAGTTTTTGGAAGATTAGGTCCCTTTTTACAGAACCTGACATGCAGATATGGTGATTAATGGTGAAAGGAACCAGAAACGGGTTGAAAAGAAGGAGTGTGCTCGTTAGTTGGACGTATTTCTGCCAAACGGAACTAAGCGCCATAGGGGGAGGAAGGTAGAGGGGGGCTTGGATTGACGGCGAAATCGGGCGTCGGGCTCATTCCGTCCTATACTCGCAATGCTTTTCCATGGCGCTTAGTTCCGTTTGACAGAAATACGTCCAGTTAAAGGTCGTAAGAGTGAATAGGAATTATGAAGCGCCATTGACGTCAGCGACGATGACGGGGACGAGGAGATCTACGTTAACGCTCTTTAACTCATGCGCCTTGTCCGCAACGCTTTTGTCACATGCTCACGGCTCATGAGTTAGCATATTTGGTGCTTAGTACCATTTGAATCCCTCTTTTCCATTTCCCCATACGGAATCACGCCCAATTTGTATTGTTTCTCATCCACCTCAAACGAGCACACCCCACACGGAAAAAAAAAACTTCGTGCGTGGGACCCGAGGTTTAGGTCATATGGATCTCTGAAGTTTTCGGATTGAGCATCTGAACACTTAAAGTCTAGCTGCCGAAGTTCAGGTCAGACATCTGAAACTTCAGTTCTTACATCTGAAGTACTTCAGATGTGAGAACCGAAATTTTTCGTATGTGAAAACCGAAGTACTTAAGATGTAAGATTGTAAGAACTGAAGTTTCAGATGTGTGATCCAAACCTCGATAGCTAGACCTTAAGTGTTAAGATGCTCAATCTGAAAACTTCAGAGATCCATATGACCTAAACTTCAGGTCCCACGCACGAGGTTTTTTTTCTCCGTGCATCTTTCCCACACGTCTCTAGTTCTTTTTTGCATTAATTCGTCCATATTGTCCATACTGCTGAGATCCTTTTTTCTGCATGCGGAAAATTCGAGTTCTTCTTTAACAATATGCCCATTTCTAGAATCGTGCGGGTCGGAACCGGGACTAGACGTGCGATCTAGCAACGGAGCATGGAACCAGTCCTGTCCGGTCGGTGGCCGGTTACGCAACCAGTCTGGTCCCTCGGAAGTCCCGGGGACGCAACGGTGGCGACGCTCTTCCGCTTCAACGAACGCTGCTTCGCGGTGGCAGAAGTGCAGAACCCTGTTCGAGACCTTACCGGGAACCCTGCCCTCGGAGCAGTCGCAGCTCGCACGAGCAACGTTGTAAACAAAGGCGCATGCACTGCCCTCTACAGGAAGAGAGTGCTTATTGCATGCCGGTCTTGCGCTTCAAACTCATTCCACATTCGTTTTATGTAAGTGATCGCCATTCGAGCGTTTCATCGAAAACCAGACTGTTGCAAAAGTCTTCGATTTACTTTTTTTTTTTTTTTTGGGGGGGGGGGGCAATGGATGAAAAAAATCAAATGAGCGCATGTATACAGAGTGGTCCAAAAACCCCATACCATCAATTTGAAAAAAAAACCTCATTCATACGAACCGAATTTGCGGTGTTTAATATTGGCCGTATCGTTCGGTTCATATGTAACCGCTCTCTCGGTTCTGGGAACCGTATCCTCGGTTCATACAACTGAGCATTCAAACTAAACATAACTGACAAAAAGCTCGGTTACGTGAATAGAACAATACGGCCGATATTGAACATCATACATTCGGTTCATATGACCGTACTTTTTTTCTCATTGCACCGGGACCAAGCGCCACTATGTAACTTATGACCAAATTCAGAAAGAGACTTGAAATTTCGTGAGTACTCTTAGGTAAAAGGAAACCAATTTTTTTGGAATTCCCCAACATTTTAGATGGACCTCTCTGAAAACGGGCAATATCCCTGAGGTTACAAGTGGTGGTACGGGACTGTTTGGTCACTCTGTATACGAGAGTTGTTTATGTACATTTTGATGGCCATGGTACAATACCGTCTGTTTGCGTACTGAAGATTTTGGAGGATGTAGAAATTTTTTTTGGAGAAATAGTAGAGCTTCTTAACAGGGGGAAAATGTTGTACCGTTTTAAACGCAAGAAAACGCATCAAAATGTATTTAACAATAGATTTTGATAATTGAACCACATTTTGCGAAAAGGAACCAATATTTCTGGCTCATTTATAAACTCGCCCATCTGCATAAGTGAAACAATCGCCCAAAAATTTTTTCTAAAAAAAAAACCGAATTTATTCGTTACTTCTGGTAAAATGTAGTTCAGTTATGATGTTTATTTAGGGATGAAAGTTTGACATGTAGTTGCCTGAAAAATTGATGGAGTAACAGGTTTCTTTACAGAGGGTATCAGTTGAGAGAAAAGCGTCAGAAATGGTATCAACTTGCCATACTTGTTAACAGATTATATCTGTTGATGAACTAGTCAAAGTTTAAACGGAGTGTATAGACTTGGTTTATAGTTGCTCTGTTGTTTTCTAGACATTGTACATAATACACATTTTTCTTATCCTCTTTTGAAGACGTATTATCTACATTGTTATTTTTTTGACATTTAAAAATTTAAAATTTGCAGTTTATTATTTCGGGGGAAAATTTATCAAAAAGTTGAAACCAGCTAGTTAGGTTTCTTTCGGTCACTTTTATTTGTTAAAAGTTACAATCGGCTATCTATTTCTGAAAATACCATTCAGAGACATAGAAAGCCATTTATAATTTTAGTGAAAATACTTGTCAAAGCCATATAGAAGAGACTAGGCTTATTTTTTGTACACAAAACGTGTATTTATTGTTTAAAAGGAATTATTTATATTTTATTTACCATTTAAGATGAATTGATGCGATTAGATGATGTAAAGACAGTTGTGAACTTTAGGTTACCTCATATAGGTGAGACACCCGTATCTTTCATAATATAAGTCACTTATTTTTAGTGTAGACATTTTGATTAGTGAACTAGTACACTCGAGTTTCACTGTGCAATATTAGTGTTAGGACAACTCAATAAAATCGGGCCATTCTGCTTTATTGAGGCTTTACATGGAATGTTGAACGATCCTCGCAAAATGGCAAGTTTTTAGATTAAGCCTCATTTGCCCAGAGGAGACTTGCTTCGTTATTTTATTTTTCGCATTCTTCCTAATTTTGTGCAATATTAGTTGTAAGTTTAGAATTATACCAATAGTATTTGCTTCTCAGGCCAAAATATTTCTCCTTGTTTCCTGTGTTAATGAAAAAATGTGATAATTTTCATTTCTTTAACAAAATGTTTTGTTTTCCGATTAAAAGAATCCCTTTATGAAAAAACTGAGAGTTGCAAGAGCATTTTCCAAATCGAGGATTCTTTTTTATTGTCCAATTGCCACAAACAAGGGATACAGCAGAGATTAAAAGCCCCCTAAAAAACTCAAAAAGAAAACCAAAAAAAATCTGCCATTTTTTCTGTACTCGGTAAAGTACTCTCATTAATACAAACTGTCACCTTGAAAGGACAAGAAAAATGTCTAAGGATACGCGCAAAAGAAAAATCATCAGTTCAAAATCGCGTTTACGCCTAAACTGCTTCCTCTTGTTTGTTGGTGATGCCCTTTCAGGTTAAATGTAGATTCTGCCCTTTTATCCTACTTTTGCACACACAAATGAAAGATTCTACAGTGACTTTTAAATTTATATAAAAAAATTGAAAAAAATCTAGTTTCACAATTAGCAAAGTCACTATTGTTTTCTACCAAATTATTACAGCACACTATTTATCTCCATTATGTATACTTGTTATCGTATTTATAATTGTTTATGTATAATAAATCATGTTTTATACTGTTGTTCAGATGATGTTATATTTTCTTTACATTGATTTTCACCTGTTGCATCAGCATGCTATTTTCCTTGTAAGAGGCATTATTTGAAGGCAGATGAAAAAAAACACAATTTCGTGACAGAAAAAAAAATTTATTGGAGACGTTAGAGATATGACCGTGATCTGTAAAACCTTTGCGTAATGAGCTCTATTTCAAAGGCACGTTCAAAGGTTTTAAAAGTCAGCTCTCTCGTTGGAAAAGGCTTAAAACTCAGACCAATATTTCTTTAGCAAACCAAAACGCCACAAAAATGATTTAAAAAAAGTATATCTATGATACGATTTCAGAGACGTTTGCAACTACTTATTTGAAAATAATAAGAACCAAGCACATAGACATGTAAGTAGAGGCATGCACTTATTTGTAGGTCACCAAAGTCAATGCTACAGATCGTCTAGAATATCTATCAAAATGAATGAGAATTCCGAGAATCAAGAAATGGGGCAAAAGCCTGAGTAAGTGAACTGCGCGGGTAGAAAAAAAAGAGAAGTGCACACTGCCCATTATGACCGAATTTTGTCAAGAAACCTGAGAGACTTGAACGCACGGGTAGAAAGAAAGAGAGCAGTGTGCATGATTTTAGTGTCCGTCGGACAGGTTGCCTCTGGAATTAGGGCAAAAGTTGATTCCATTCGGCCGCCAACTTGATCGATCGCACCAAATGAGGCTATTCATACAATTGCATATTTAAAATAATTTTAGAGCCCTGCGAAAAAGTTTGATAACTTAATCCCCCACTCTTATATCGGCCGGGAGATTCAGCTGATAAAACCGAAGTTTTGATTCATAAAAACAAACTTTCGACTTTCCGTGGCTTGCTTTGGTTATAGCATTGAACAAAGGAACCAAAATTTTGGTTCAACCAGGCGAAAAATACAGACTATACAAAACACCAGAGGGCGGTTTATATTTTCTCTCATCGAAATCAGAGTATTTATTTAAGTGTGCTACCACATTGAAGGCTATATACTTATTTAAGAGAAATGACAATTAATGGGATTGGAGGACAAGTCGTATAAATGCAGTCTTGGGAAAAATCGAGGTATTAATATAATTTCGAGTAAAACCAGTCTCAGTGCATATTCTGTGAAAAATTCGAACCCAAATCCGAATTTCTAGGCATCAAAAAATGAGTTTGAACCTTCTCTCCGCTGTAAGGATCCATGTAATCTTAAAACTTCAAACACTTCTTTCTCGAAATAGCAAAAACTGCACTTATGCGCCTTGTCCTACAAGACCCTCCATTGAAGAAAGAAAGAAAAAAATCCATTGTCATATACCGATCAAAACAGCCGAGCTGATCTAGTCAAGTGAGAGTTTTCGAAAATACGTGATGAACTTTTCACGATCAATCTGAGCTGCGTAAAAAACAACATAGTGTGAGTAAAAATGTATCCTGTCGGCAACGTCACCAAATTGTGAATGAAATTCGAATTTTTCGCAATAAGTAATGTGGTGCAGGAAAAAATCTACCATGCAACTTTTCAACATGGTGGTAAATTCAATTTACACAATAGTACCAGGCCTGCCAAGTCATGGAGAGTAACATGTCTATTGAACATAGAATCGATCTTCAAACATCAAATCGTTCCGTATTCTTTTTCGAATCTTCGTATTTCGAGGTAGTTTGACAACCGTGTAAGCAGGTGAGCATACCGGAGCGACAAGACCGTTGAGAGTTCTCCATAAATCATTGAAGATACTTTCCATGGACAGCTAAGAAGACGGCTGAAACGTGATGAGATGCGGGTGCAGTTTTCAAGTGCGTCCACGCTTTGTCTTGGAATGGCGGAACGATGAACATCCATACCTGAAATTCCTCTCAGATCAAGGTTTGCAATACTCCTGATTACAGAGAGTGTGCAGCTTGAAATATGGGAAGAAGAGTCGATTTACAATAACTGAGTTTGAAGGTATACAGAGTTACAATAACTGAGTTACGTTGATGGTGGGAGGTAGAGTCCCTTTATACTGAGAGTCAAGACAATTCGGCTCATGGATGTCACAAACGGGACTAAAGATTACAGAAATTGAACGTTTTTCGTAATCTTTGATCGGCCCATTCTCAAATGCCTCTCTCCGTTCCTCCTCTCATTCCGTTTGTTCCTTGCCGAACCCGTAATTCCCTGGTCCATTCCAGATTATAATCTTTGCAATTGGTGAAAATGTAATCTTTATTCCCGTTTGTGACACTGTGGAGGCCTAAAATACGGGAACCAATCAGAAATGGATTCAAATTGTCTTGACTCTCAGTATAAAGGGACTCTAGTGGGAGGTATCATGAAGGATATTAGGGTGCCGTGAAGGTATACTTGGACGTATTTCTGTCAAACGGAACTATGTGCATTAAGACATGAGCCCTAAGACCCATAAGACTACATGCATAACAGGGCTCACGTCATAACGCACATAGTTCCGTTTGGCAGAAATACGTCCCATTGAATAGCATTTTGCAAAAAGGAACCAAGAGCATTCCAATGTCGCTATGATTGTGCAATTGTTTTTACCTTGGAAATAGATATAGACTGATCATCCAAACAAGTTTTATCTTTAGTCCCAATAAACCATAAATTCAAGACGAAAATTACCCTTGTACATTTGGTTATAGGACATTTCGTCGACGATTTTTTGTCCGCGCACCTTTTTGGCGTTTTTTCGGCACTGGAGTTTTGATCAACGTGCCAGTTGAGACCCAAAGTTAATTGGCCCACATGTAAATACAAACGACCATTGCTCACGACGTTTTTGGATGAAAATGTATAATGTCTTGGAAGAATGAGGGTTTGCTTGCAGCTAAAGGCTCTTAGATTTTTCTTGTGTACGATAAGTATCTTGATTTATTTTGCGAAGAAAGATCTGTACTTTTAAAGGATGCCTGTCATTCTTAACACGTTCAATTTCGTATAATACTGTGCAACACCTCTATCGTGAACTAGTTGCTTCAGGCGCCACCGCACGGCGCGGCGGGCGGGCGGCCAGCGCGAGACGAGCCTTGGCGCCTACAAACCTAAGTGGATACTTCAAGCATGGTGCAATGCGTGAAGTGTCTACTTAGGTTTGTAGGCGCCAGTGAGCCTCTCGCGCTGGCAGCACGTCGCTCCGCTCTGTTCGGCTTTAATATTTATACTCGCATAGTCAGCGTTTTTTAACTCATGATTTTGAAATGTTAGCACACGTTGCATTGATTATTCTCATTTAAATTGATGGAGGAAAAAAATGTATCAATTTATCAAAGGAGAATAATAATATGACGTGTGTTTTTTAAATATTGGTGAATCTGTGTCAAATTTAATGATTTCCAAAGTACTTTAATTTTTTCTTTTACATTTTGTGCTTTTATTGTGCTGCAGCGAGGTGTGCGCGCAACGAAACGCTCAAAATTTGACGTATTTGACTCTAAAAGATCGATGTACAAATGGGTTAAATCTAAAGATTGCGTGCCTCTTGGTTTTTCCCCCTCTTTTATTCATTTTTGCAGTTTCTGTCGGCACAACTGCGGCTTATTGAGATTAATGTCGCTTGGAAAAGGTTTCCCAAATATTTGCCACAATTTAAAAATATAAATGTTTTCAAAATGAAGTAATAATTTCGTAAAGAAAAAATTAAAAAAATAAAAAATTACCTATACATATATAAGGTATATTGTACATCAAATATATTAAGGATGGAAATAAAACGAATGATTCACCAATGACAATTTTAAAAGATGATTCAAAAGGAGAAAGTAATAACATTTTGTTTAGAAAATGAGCAATCATAACAACATCTCTTTCTCTCTCAATTTCTCATTTCCATACTGTCAATATAATTTTACATACTGGCTAAAATGCCTAACGCTTGGACCAAGTCACTGTTGCTATTTTACGTGTGGGCATAAACTACTGGACAAAAAAGTGCGCGGACAAAAAATCGTTAACAAAATCTCCTGAAACCTGTACATTTAATATTTTGCATGATTTCAGTAATTGTATTGCAAAGAATGTAAAGTCTACAATCTTAGCAACATTCGAATGCTCTTGGTTCCTTTCGCTAAATGCAATCCAATTCTCAGAGGGAAGATGGAAAAGAGAAGGACAAAAACAAAGATGGAGAAAAAGAGGAGCTAGGTCAGAAACAAGATGGAGGAAAGGAGGAGGAGAGAAATAAGAGACAAAATATTTTGAAGACCAAACTCTCCTATCTTCCCTATTGTGGAAAAAAATACTTTCGGGAGTCATCGCTCAGATTATTTAAACGATGACTGATAACCAAAAGATTGGGCAAGTGGTTTTGCAATCCTATCCGAATTTGAAGGAATTCGGCTAGCCAAGTGCGCGACTCAACATTCATGAGTTATCATTAGGCAATTTTTATTTGATTTCCGTTCAACACGTTGCTCATCAACCATCATTATGCGAAAAATAGCGTCGATCTTCAAATTAAACTTTTGTTTAACTTGATTAAATTTCTAAAATTGTGAGTGTGGTTCCTCTGAAATCTATGGTGTCTGATAGATGGATGTATTTATACGAAAGGGAACTAAGCGCCAAATTTCCAAATTTCAGTTTTTAACGGATCTGGATTCTCCATGTAATAGGCTGCTCTCACAAGTAAATATGCCCCCAAAATACTAATTTCATCCCCTGGAATCAGCCCCTGAAAAATCGCAAAACAGGGAATCAGCGATTACGAATAAAATCAAAAGGAACTATATGTAATTCCCTTTGATTTAATGCGCTAACCCGGATTCCGAATTAAATCAAAAGGCGCTATCTCCACTTGATTGACGCGCGCGCGGCGAAGCTTGGTGGAAACTTGGTGAAAGTTAGTACCGGGGGGTATTTTTGGACGGGAAACTCCAAAACTCCGGGATTTTTTCCCTTTTTAAAAAGGGAAAAAATTGATAACATGAAAACCAGGTCTTTCCATTTTGAGTGTTTTTCATTAATATTTCCATTAATATGGGGATCAAAATTGCTTTTTACGCT